GATGTTCCTGTAAGTGTGGTGTCCCTTTTAGCAGCCACCACAATCCAGAAAATGGCTGTAATCCACATCTTACTGAAATCAGAGGCAAATCTCCCATTGATTTCAATACATATTTCTGAATACACCACAATTTACACTGGGGTTTCCTCCTGTGGTTTAAGAGTGTAATTCTTTGCTAATTTTGTTCTCTAATGAAGCAATGAGCAATGTTAGCAATTTTCTTCTCAGTGCAAGAAAGTCTTCATAAACCAAAGTTTTCAAACACTATTTGCAGTTTGGGACTTATTTTGCATCAAATTCAAACATTGCCTTTTTACACAAAGGATTGCATTTCTGCAAAGGGAGCAGAATTTTATGTACTAACAATCCTGTTTCTTGAGCAGAGAATGCTATTTTTTTGGGCAAAAAGCCAAAATTTTGTACTGAATAAGTCCTGAACTGTGGAGATTCTTATTAGCCCAGGATTTTCAGGTTTCCTGATTTTTGAGAATCATGTTTTTCACCCATTTTCCAACCATTCAAAAATATTCTTCCCATCCCTATGTTGTTATATAGAAGTAGAAGATCATAGGGAGGGATAAGAAGACAGGTATGTGAAGTGGTTCATTGATAAACTCCTTGACACAGGAAACTGAATTCTCCTAAATGGCTTCCATGTGTCTTCATTATTTTGCATGCATGGCTTACTAAAAGGTTGAAATAAAATGCACCCATCCTGTGCACAAGAGATCCACATAACTGATATCAAATGTACAAAGTAGCACCTCTACACAGACTGGGCAAACATTTTTGTTTTATAACTCATCCTTTTGACTGTTGTATATTACATCTGTGAATAAAACACCTTCAGGCAAAACCATGATTATTTCATGATTACAGGGAGATGACAATCAGGCTCCTGTGAGTAGATGATAATTTTGAACCTGAAATGAACAATGACACCAGATAGATTTATGAAATATCCTGCCCACAGTGAGGAGAGGAGATCAAAGTGGAGCTATTTAATAATGCATTCTACTTTTCTTATGCATTTCTCCCTATAGTATCTTCCTCTCGTCAAAGCACTGGGATCCTCAGCTCAAAGTCAAACTATGATAAAAAGGAACAATTCCATGTGTTCTTGACAGGCAAACATAAAACAGAACCTGTGGTATTGTCGTGTCTGTAACAACTGACAGTATTTTAATCCCCTTTGTCTTAGAATTGATCTATGCTCTTCCATTTCCTAGTATGGGAGGGAAAAAAGAACTTCAGGAATTGTCATACATGAAAAAGGACTGTCCATATGTAACATGGGAATATAGAAACTAGTACAGGCTCACAAAGAAATGCAGTACTGTATACACTTGACTATAAGTTGACCTCATATATAAGTCAAGGCAAGTTTTGGGACCAAAGTTATGGATTTTGATATGACTCGTGGATAAGTCTAGGATAAAACTTAGGGGCATGTAGCAAAGGATGTAAAGGATGAAGTTTACTGTCTTCATACATAAATGTCTTATTTTTAATTATTTTTTTTAAATTACAGGGGATAAAAATTAAGAAGTATACATATAAAATAAGAGCTTATGCAGATGACTTGGTAGTTAATCTGGATAACCCATCTGAAAACATAGAGAGACTAATGGAAATAATGAAAGAATATAGAGATATAACAGGATGTTATATCAAAATCAGTGATAGTCACAAAAAACATAGATTCGAAGGAAGAGGAAAAATTGCAAGACAAAACAGGAATGGAAAAGATGAGAGATTTAGGAATCCAAATTACAAAAAAAATCAAATGAGTTATTTGAAAATAATTATGTAAGGCTATGGAAAGAGATCAAAAGGGATCTGATCAACTGGAATAGATTAAAGCTCTCCCTATTAAGAAGAATATCAGTAATTAAACTGACAATTCTACCCAAAATGTTATTTTTGTTTCAAATGTTACCAATTATAAATAAGGAATCTTTTTTGAATTGGCATAGAGATATTTCAAGATTTATATGGCAAGGGAAAAAAACCTGAGGATTAGATTTAAAGTACTCCAGGATGCTCAAAAAAGGGGTGGATTGACACTCCCAGATTTGCGGATATATTTTGAATCTTGTGGATTGGGATGGATTAAAGATTGGCTAAAATTAGAAGATAAAAGACTTCTAGAACTAGAAGGAGAAGGGATAAAATTTGGTCTCCATGCTTATTTAGCATATGATAAAGAAAGGACAAACCAGGCTTTTAATAACCATATCATAAGAAAAACTCTCCTGAAAATATGGAAAAAACATAAAAATAGGTTAATGGATAATGGATATCCCCACAAGAGGTGTTTTATAGGAAAGAAATGGATAGAGACAACAAATGGGTCACATATAAGGACTTAATAGATAAACAAGAAGGGAAGCTCAAAATAGTGAAATGAGAAATATTGGAGAGCAAAGGATACAAAGTTGGATGGTTCCAATATAGACAGATCTATGAGAAGGCTACAGTAGATATTAAAATCCAAGGAATAGCTTGAAAGAAAAACAGAATTATAAGAAATTTTGCTTGGGAAAAATAAGATAATAGGTTACTATATAAAAAACTATTGCAAATGCAAATGGAGGAAGAGGTGGTAAAGGATGCAATGATAAAGTGAGCAAAAGATATAGGATACCTAAAACAATTGGACTAGTGGGAAAGAATCTGGAAAAAAGCATTGAAATGTACAGCTTCTCAAGGGTTAAGATAAAATTGGTATAAAATGTTCTATCAATGGTACTTGTCACCAGATAAAATAGCCAAAATGTATAAAGGGGTTACTACTAGCTGTTGGAAATGCAAGGAATCATGTGGAACCCTCTTATCATTGTTGGTATAAATGCAAAAAGGCTGTTAAATATTGGAATATGATCAGTAAAATAATTAATGAAATGTTAGGGATAAAAATAGAAATGAAACCTGAAACTTTTTTGTTAGGAATACTAGAGGACAAATTAGGAAAAAAAAACATGGGAAAGTATTATTTTGCTTACTTACTTTGGCAAAAATTACTTTTGCTCAACATTGGAAAAAAAATACCCACAAAAGAGGATTGGATTTGGAAACTATATGGCATGATAGAAGCAGATAAGCTAACCCAACTATTGAAAGACAATACACTGAAGAATTTTTATAAAGACTGGGAATTGGCAATCAAGTATTTGAGAGAACAGTGGGAGAATTAGCAATTATAAGTTTGTTAGAAAAGGAAAACAATGAGAAATAATTAAAAAAAGGAAAAGAAATTAAAAAGGGAAAAGGAAGATAAGGTTGTATATAAGGTTACAGTAGACTAATACAGGGAATAGGTAAATAAGATAATGGATTCAAGAGAAAGAATGGAAGTGATTTGAAAATAGAAGTTATGGGAAGAAAGGATAGTAGTAAAGAAGATTGATAAATAAAAAATAAGGGCATAGAATTGTGCAAAGAATAGAAAGAAATTGGAGGTGAAGAAGTTATGAATGATGAAGGAAAGTGAGAAGTAAGTAAGTAAGAT